AACTTCAACATCAACAACATTTGCATTCAGAGATTCTGGAAGTTTTAATGAGGTAGAAGGAGGAAAAGGATTTTATTGTGGAAATTTTTTTTGTGGGATGTTTAATTTACATTTGTTAATTAAAACACTGACCTTTAAAGTAAAGACAATGCATAGAAGTTGTAGAATATCGACTGATTTACTGTGGGCTGTTTAATGTACTGATGAGTCCCTAAAACTTCCTGTTACCTAAACTGCCAACACCACCCACTATTAACTTGTAGTTACCTGAAAAGTTGAGAAATTATTCATTATATTTGCACTTTTCTTAGAATTGCTATCAGCTTTACTTCCTTTGCAGTGAAATTACTTAGTAAATTATTATTATTAATATATTTATTTGATAATTTCCCATCTGGATAAAGATTCTGACTCTGGATTATTTATTTCATGAGTGTGTGTTAAAAATAATACTTGCACACATTGGGAGTTAAAGCATAACCATGTCAACTTTAATATTAACCATGTACGGTTAAAGACAGAACACATAATAAAACAAAGAAGAGAAGCAGAAAACAGTGTACATATATAAAAAAAAGAATATTACAAAAAAAAAAAAATCCACCTAAAGTTATGTCTATCTTAACTTGGTGTTACTGGAAGTGTGAGTGGTTCACAAGCATTTCAAAGAAAAAAAATCAGTCTCTACTTTTAACTTGTAGGACCACAGAATTGCTCTTCTCTGGACTTAAAGAGAAAATATAGCATAACAGAGCGGTCCTGAGAAGGTGTACTCATTGGCATAGATGTATACAGTATATGTGTGTGAGTGTATAACTGTATGGAAATGTATTCATGGTTTCTTAAGACAAGTTGGACATAGCAGGTTCTGTTCTGAGTACAAGTTCTGTTGTTATTCCTGGCATAATATATTCTGAAAAAAGAAGAAAAAGAAAAAGAAAAAAAAACTCAAAAAAAAGGCCACTGAGCAGCCTCCAGTATGTACACAATATATGCATTTCCATCACAAAACAAATCCGTACAGGTAATATTTTTACGTGCTGAAGGTGTAAGGTTTGTCCCTTTAGCATTTTGCTTTAAATGCACCCTTATGAATGTGGGCAGTCTGAAAACTATACTGAAATAACAGATTAATCTAGGAGTCACTTAAGAAAACTACAAGGGGTTTAAGGAGTCGTTCTTCAACCGTACATATAGTATTATGAATATCATCATCATCATCATCATCATATGAAAATAAAACATGACAACTCTTGGAAAGGTATGCCGCTTTCTGACTCTAAACTGACTTAGACCTGGACATATTCTGTTTGAGAGAACAGCATTAATGTTTGGATGAAGTTAGAGACAAAGCTGTGGCTGAACTGGCAAACATCTCCGAACAGTTGTCTTTGTGGGGAGAAGGGAAGGGTTAAAGGAATATTTCTGCTTTTTAATGAATTGCCCCTTTGGTGGTTATACGCAAAAGGAAAATAGCACAAAAAGCTGGACATCGGGGTTTAGGTCTATGACAACATCACTTACATCACAATATAAAACATCTTTGTAACCACTGTAACCTGTAAAGTTGTACACACCAATGAGGCTTTTGCATATTGTCTTCTTTTTAAATAAGAAACACTGCAAGGACAATATTCTGGCTGCTGTTACACACAAGACTTTTAACTCCTGTCTGTCTGTCTGTCTGTCTGTCTGGTTCAGATCAGACAGTATCTATGACCTCAAACACAGCATCTAATAAAACACTCCTGCTCATACACACACACACCACACCTGCCACCATACTTTAAATCCTGTTCAAAGGCCCGGTCGCACCAACATAAAATGGCAACATTTATCCACGTAGAGTAAAATTTAAAGCCTGAATTTGTGCTGTTGACCAATACGAAGCTGCCTTGACACTGCTTTGAGGGAACAGAGTCAAATATAGAGGAAGCTATTGTAATACAGCTAATCAGCGTTGTTGCACCATCCAATCTTCTCTGTTTGAGTTTAAAATGCTCCACAAAAGATGGCAATAAGTTTGCTAATGGGAAGATACGTTATGTTAGTGACCTTATTCACAAGACACACTTGCTAACGGGAGTAACTTTTTATTGTATTCATTATGTGACCAAGCTTCTAGAACCAGATATAACCACGCATGCTTAACTTTGCTGTGCCACTTTCTGGTGTGACCAACTTCCCCCTGCTCAGCTGTCACATGATTCGGTTGCCTTCACTCACATACACTCTCCCTTCTCCGAACACACTCTCATTGAGGTCTTTATGACTGACGGTTTGAATGTGTACACTGGAGTTACATTTTTCAGAACAATAAAAGAAAAGCGTCAAGGAGAGGGATAGTACATCTATCTGCAGATCTATGGAATATGTAGAGAACATACAACTACTACATGTGTACAAATGGCTATGCATGGTCCCTGCCATGTGTTTAACTCCGTACTGTAGCTCAGAGGAACTCGGGCTTCTCCTCTTTGTCAGGAAATATAGGAAAATAGAATTTCACAAAAACATGCATTCCCAATGGAAAGAAAAGGTTTCACCAGATACTGTGAAACTGCAGAGAGATGAGCATGTGGGCTGTTGTGGGCATTTCCATATGTTTATGTGTGTGTGTGTAAATGTAACACAAAGGAAATGTTGTGAATGGGAATGTTGTATCTGTTTGTGTGTGTGTTTGTTCAGAGCGCCACAGGAAATTTTAACTGGGAAAATGCAATGCAAAACTGAAGGAACAGGTTGCGTCTCTCTTCAAAAGATTTTTCCTTTCTTCTTGTTCTTTTCCATCGTCCTGTGTGAGAAACAAGAAAGGTGAGCACATTACTTCACTGTCTTGTACAAATATATCTATTGGTTGTTACTACAATAATGTGTTACCATGTCAGACTGCCTTTTGGGGTACTTTTTAATAGCCTATAAAGTTTAGTATGTAAAATGTATAGTTTAGTGTTTAGTACTTCTTTTTAAAATAAAATAAAAAAATTTCAATTATCGGTTATCGATATTGGCCATGAGCAGGAGGTAATTATCGTTATCGTATTGGATGGAATCGTGCATCACTAATAGATTTTGCTGCTATTTATATTGGTAACCTTTAGAGGTCAGTGAAGGTAACAGATAATGTAATATATGTTGCAAACAGGCAAGAAAATATGCGGAAAATGAAATCACTATCCCATTTTAGAAAAATCAACAATATTTTTAAGGTACATTATGTGTATCAGTCAATCAATAGACTTGCTGTACTGCAGGCTTAACAAAGTAACCATTTTTGCCAAAATGCCGGTGTTACTGACTTGGAGGCGTCCAGTTTCTGCTGCTCGAGGATTCTCTGCTGAGCCTCCCAGTTGGCCTTCTCGTCCTCAAACACTCGTCTCTTCTCCTCCAGCTCTTTGTACTGCGCCTCCAAGTTCCTTTTCATCTGTTCGTGGCGTCGCTCCAGCTGAGGGTCAAAACATTAAAAGACTCACTCTCAAACCAAACAACAAGAAACTCATAAGAGCACCCATAATAAAGATTCAAACTCATTAAAACTAGAGGTGGAGTAATCGGGGATAGTTATGCAAGATAATCATCCGACAAGTTGTTTGTTCTGTGCAATGCCACATGGATAATAAGGTAGTAAAATAATGTTTGTCTCTTCTGGATTTGAATGTAACACTTTAAGTAGATTATTTGGCAAAATGATTGTCCTGTTTGGTTATCATGAGCCACCGTAGCTTGTATGTGTATCTGTACCTTGTAAGAGGACTTGCTTAATATCTGATCTGTTCATGTAGCGTTAAGATTTAACACTGAATAGTTAACATGAATGAAAGTTACTGGATACTGTCAGCTTCTGTATAGTGGTGTTTTCCACTATACCACTGGATTATAAAGCCTTTAAAGCTGCAGTAGGTCATTTTTATAAAAATACTTTTTGGTCATATTTGTTGAAACTTTCACTATATCCTGACAGTAGAACATGAGACAGATAATCTGAGAAACAATCAGTTTCCTCTGGCTCCTCCTAGTGCTCCTAATGGGATTTGCAAGAATCCACCAGGCCTGAATGAAAACAACCAAGCGTCTTTTTAGCTTTCTCAGCTCTGATTGGTTGTTTTTATACTTTTCATCTCTCTCACTCACACACCCTCAACCCACCTCAGCCTCGGAGTCCTTCAGTTTCTGCTTCTTCTCCTTCACCTTCATTTCAAAGACCTGTTCCATTTCTGCCTCCATCTTCTTCATTTTCATCACATGCTCCCTGCGCTCCTCCTCCATCTGTGCCAGAGGACTCCTGCTGACCAGAGATTAATTCTTTATATTCAAGACAGGTGCTTTATGAATAACTTTTACCTTCTTAAAAACATGCTCAAGGTTGCCAATAAATAAAGGCTGTGTGGCCCCTGTCATTAAACTAGTAGTAGTAGTAGTAGTAGTAGTAGTAGTAGTAGTAGTGTTAGTGGTTTCGTGGCTGAGGCGTACTTAGTGAGCTGTCCTTTGGTCTTGGAAGTGTCCACTCCATTACAGGTGACAGCAGCGAGTTTCTTACTGCGATAATTTTCGTAGTGGACATTGTTGGTGACATCCTTTAGATCCTGCATGTGGGTCCTATGGAAGGGGAGGGGAAGAACACAAAACAGGTATAGTAAGGCAGAAGGAGGATAGGGAAGAAAAAAGGATTGGAGAGAGAGAAGAGAAGAAAGTAACAGCTTATTTATAAAGGAACAAGCTAAAGATACAAATGCATATTACTATTACATATTATTATTAATTTGACTGTTGCTACACAAGCATCCTAGACATTATAATACATGAACTGTAAACTAATGCAGCCATTAGACAGAATCTGTCAGCCTCTAGTGGCCTCTCTGAGTGTGACAGGAATGACAGGTATGATGGGTTAAAAAACAAGCTACAGTCATCAGACTAAGATATAAATGTTCAGCAGGATGTCTAACCTGATGAGCATGTTGCGTAGCACGGTGAAGTCGCAGTGTTCCCCGTTCTCCACTGAAACACACAGGGAGAGAGAGGACAGCAGAGAGGGAGGGAGAGAGACACATGACATGTCAAAATTACTACACACAAACACTTCTCATAGTAGTAATCATAATAATGTTAATCTGGTCTCAAGGGGAACTAAAAATACACTGCAAGCTGTTTCTACAGATGTTTGCACATACAGAAAGAACTGCAAGGAATTCTGGGTAAATTTACAAGATTTACTAGGTAAATAACTGTCAACTGCTGCGGCCTATCTCTGTATGTGTTCACATTGAGAGGCAGTCCCTGCAGAAACATGTTATTGTGTTTTTGGTGAGTAAGATCAAGTGTTATTTACGTAATAAAACATATACAGTGTAGTACTAATACAGAAAATTAAAAAAAATGAATGTTAGTCTCTCTGGAGACCTCACGGTACAATGACAGATGTCACAGTGTGTAAAGTTCATTCATTCATCAGATATACAGGGAGAAGCACACGGAGAGAAAGGTATTGTCAGGTGTAGCCAGTGTTTCAAGTAAATGGAGGCGTTGTAGAATGACAGTTGAAGCACATCAACAGAAAACAAAAGGGCAGAGGGACATCAGGCCATGATCACATAGGACGGTTTTAATATGAGCACACGCTTTTATCGGACTGGGTTGGAGCTTGAGACAGCTGAGACATGGTGGTCCACCTTCAACAGCGAACGATGCTGCTGCAGACTGCTCTTGTGCAGTTTTAATGTTAGAATCACTTCTTTTGAATGATTAGACAAGTGTGCGAATGTTCTGTACGGTTTAACCGAGTGTGCAAGACACTGATGTAGTGTATGTGAAATCACCTACAGGTTTCTAAAGAGAATCTTCTAAGTGTGGATTTAAGAGATGGTGGTAATTTTCTGGAAAACCAGAAGTAATTCATTATTTCAGTAGTTGAAGATTATTATTATTAATTTTATGTATCAAAACCCAGAGAGACAGTTTGTGCTGACCACTTTTAAAATATTTCGAAAACTTAAAATGGCAAAAAGTGGGAATGACACGCAAATACAGTGTACCAGAGGACTGGAGTCACATCACTTGGACTCAAGTGGTTTGATGACTTGCAACTCGACTCTGAATTTAACACCAATGACTCGTGACTCGTAGACTTACACTAAACACACACACACACACAGACACACACATTGCCGTCATTGGGCAAGAATTCCTTTCAGACCAAACCTTTCATCATATTGTAATTTATGTGGTCTGAAAGAAAACTAGATTTCTTCCCTTCTTCTTGGCTCTGTTTTTCAGGCTTTAGATAGCCTGTAACAGAAAACTTCTCTGTAGAGGGAACAGCTCATTCTAAGGTGACGAAAACACAATAATTTGCTATATTCATGTAGTTATACACTAATGTAAACGTGAATATTATATTGCATTTCTGCCAATACACCCTACTAAATGTTACACACTGGGCCTTTAATAATACAATATGTAGCCCTGGTGCTTGCCATTTAACTGCACAGCAATGATAATGATACTCAGTGGAAGATCTGATCTCCTGCTCTGTTTTCATAGTGAAAGCCTCCTATCTGATCACAGCCTTTCTCTGTTGGACCCCACAGACGCCACACAGTTAGAACAAACAAGAGTTCTTGGTCAGACAACAGTGAACATAACTGGTCTCATTTTGACATGGTACAGTTAACATGATTGTGAGTTTTCATCTCAGCGACAAAGACATGGTTACACGGTCAGACGGGATTCTGGAAAAGGACTGCAGATAAACTGCTGCTGCGGATGTATGTGGTGGATTCTCCAGCCTCCTCTTCATCAAATACGCTGTTCCTTATTGGTTAGCCTCCACCCCACTGGCGGTCAATCATCATCAGGGGAGCAAATAAGGAGGACACCTTACCATTGATGAAACTTAAGCAGTTCCGCTGCCCCTTGGCCTCCAAAGCCAGCCATTGACCTCCTGTCTCTTCTAGAGGAGGGAGCTCTGACGGAGGGGAGGGGTACGTTTTTTCAGTTACTGTCTGCGCCCAGCAGGGGGCTAAATCTGGGTCTGGAGCAGCTGGGTTTTTTAAGGCTCAGACGTGGCCCGGTTTTGAGCCCAGAATCGGCACGTTTGGCCCAGATTCAGCCCAGATTTGGCCCGGATTAACACCATAACCTGCATGTGTCCAAGCTGACTGGCTAAAAGGGCGCAGGGCTTGTAGGGAGAGTGTAGTGGTTGGAGGGGTTGATATATGAGGATCTATGCATGACCAGCTGGGGGTGCAAGTCTCAATGAGGGAATAAGTGGAGGAGCTAAGTGGGGTCAAGGGTCATAGGAAAAAAAAAAAAGGTTGTAACTAATAGTAATCAGATCTTATTTGTTGATGAGTGGCAGAAAATACCTGATGCATACTTTAGGGTCCAAACCGTTTTACTTTCTTTATTTGTCAATAGTGGACTTGAAAATTGTCTCAGTCCATCAGGTGTTTTAAGCCTGAGTGCTTTATCTATTAGCAGTATGTGTTTAGGCCATGATGATGAACTGCATTGGTTTAATGAATCAAGAGCACACAACTGTTTATTTAAAACATGCATAAGTGTGTGTGTGTGTGTGTGTGTGCAGGATTTTTTGCAAACAACATTTCGATGTTTAAACTCTTACATTAAAATTTCAAGTATGCTAATGGGTGAGAATTCATGATACCAAGCAACATGTTACTTTAATGACTTAAATGAGCTGCTACATGCCCTTCTGGAAAACACTAACTCACCATTAACTGCTCATGAACCTATAAGCAATGCGTTAGGATGGTGGATCCCAGTCCTTGGTCCAGTGATAACAGCGAGGTCTGTACACCGTTCTCACCCTGCACCTACGCGATTAACTCTAAAGAGCTAAATAATGCAGTGCAGCAGGACAGCAATTAAACGGTATTGCTGTTAGGGATGGGAATCGAGAACTGGTTGCAAATGGTCAGATCCATCAGAATCGTATGCATCCGAGCTTATCAACCCCTTTTATTAATGCTGGCATGTTTTTTCTGATAGTTGCCCATAGCAACACAATGACGTCAAACTCGTGCATCTATGCTTCTGGGAACTAGCAACAAGGAGTTATGGTGAAGAGGAAGAAACAATCCAAAGCGTGGCATCATTTCACACCAGCAATATGCAGAAACATTTATACGCAATATGAGCTTAAATTCCAGGAATGTCATGTATTTGACACTACGCACGAGTGCCACTGCTTCCCAACGGAGCAGTACTTCTGTTAACAAGGGTAAATACCCTATGTTATAAAAACGGCACGCAGGCAGGCATATCAGGTTTTTTCTTTGACTAAGAAAACCTAGATAAAAACAAGTGCTGTACACATATTAAGAAAGTAAATCAAGAACCGGTTCCAAATTAAACAACAGTTAAACAGTGGAGCTATTGCATACCTTGCATGCCTTGCTTATCACATGCATGCCTTTTTTCTACACCGTGTTCAGACTCCGAGATAACAGTAGTGTAGTCTGACTTTTTTCACACAGAAAATGAACAAAGAATTAATAAGGGAATCAATAAAGAATTGAAACAATAAGCAAAATTCATAATGGCATTGGTATCAGTAAAAATCGTATCAATTCCCATCCCTAATTGCTGTATGCGATACCACTGGAGCAAAGAAGGGACCCACAGTATTAGAGTGATGTTTCTATTGCAGCTGTAGTTTCAGCACCAAACAGCCTCTAGTTATCTCCATGACTATTTACAGCATCAGACCTGGGACAAACAGTATGTGAAAGCCTGCTGAGAACACCAGACAGACAGGATCTGAAATATTTGAGATATGGCAAGTACACAAACCTCGTCAAATGCACCTTGCAGGATAGTTCCGATTTATTACAACCTTGGTCTTATTTTTGTAATTTTGATCATTCTTATCATAATATTACACTCTCCAAGTTAATTGCTGAGATCTGGGAACACAGTGATGGCACTAAAAAAGTCTGATACACGTGCAGTCAGTTTGGGTAACCAGGGGGTTGGAACGTCTGTTTGAACCAACACCACTTGCTGTCGTTGTGCACACGAGACCTGTACAAAGTGGTTTAGATATCTGAATAAATTGTTGACTGGTTTTTAATACCTGTCTGATTGTCTGACTGCTCATGTTTCTTGCCCCGCCAGACTACATTGTAGTGATGTCAGTCTGTTCCCAGATCTTAGTTATTACTGTGGTGAGTACGGCATGGTTTTAACTGAGAAATCATAGTCAAATCTTTTAAAATAAGACCTACGTTGAAATAACCTGGAATTATTCTTAAAAAACAGACTGCGTCAAATTAAGTGATAAAAACAACAACCGTAATGATCAGCCTAGTAGATCACTGGCCCTTGTGCCCTACGGTAACACCTAGCATACACAATGATGAAGAGCAGAGACTGTTATGCATAAGGAATTTCCTTATTCCCTTTTCTAGGGGTAGATCGGTGTGGATTTTTGTGTGCGATGTACTGCACGCTGTCTTAATGTGAAAAAAAAAACTTTCTGTAGAAATTTAAAGTCATAGTAGTAAAGTTTTGCTCCACAAATTGGGTTAAATATTTACATTAGAGCCCAACTGATATTGGATTTTTGAGGCTGACACTGATATCAATATTTGAGTTTATTTTTGGTTAGTGTCCTTTAAATTTGTGATTTCCTACAGGGTACTAAGTGAGAAATTTGACTTGACATGTCAGTGCTCTCTGTTGGACAAACTATGTAATGGCAACACTGTTTTAAAATAAATTTATCATGGTGACCTTCCATTATGGTGATAATCATGAATATCCTCATGTGGCTGGACTTGAAAAAGCTGTCTATCTTGCCAGCATACAGTCCATACTTTATTATATACAGTATTACGTTTATTTTTAGGATTATCATGATAATATTGTGCATTGTATTTATTTAAGTATGAATATTAGTTGCCTAAGAACATATCAATGACAAATCATTCAACTGATATTTTGGTACTTGCTCATGGTTTCTGTAAAATGAGCTGTGGAGAATCTAACTGCTCTAAAGATGTGTAGCATGTCCATATTGACAAAGGTTTAAACATTTATATTTGTGTAGGTAATCTAAGCAGTTTAGAACTCGCTGAAGTTTTATTACTTTCTTACTTTGGAGAAATATAGACTCATTCAGCATTGTGTATGATAAGTGTTAGCAAAGACCGCTGGGGCCAACTGTGAACACATTTTGGTGTCTATGTTCTTTATTGTTGTCAAATGTTTCCAAGATATGGAGTACTTCAGTACTAACTTAAGTTTGTATTCAGCCCAAGTCTGATCAGAGCATTGGTTTGACCATCAGCCTAATGATGAGACAGCACAGCAACAGAAAAGTGGAGGGAAAGGAGGGGTGGAGAGTTCGGGGGACACTCTGAAGGAAGAGGAGTAGAGGACAAAATGAGGCTGAAATAAAGTGAAAGATGGTTTGGTTTACCAAAAATGCCCTCTGTCAGTCATGGAAAAGAATAGACAAAGAAAAAAGAAAAAAAGAGAGAAAAGAAAGAATGAAAAAGTGAAAGACTGATAAACGGTCAACCACAGAGCAACAACGGTATATTACTTTATATAAAGATATATACAGTATATCATCTTTCAGAGGACTTTAAAACAAGTGAAAACCAACACACCAGTAAGAGCAACAACAGTTCATCGTGGCTAATGGTGAAAGCGTGGCAGTCTCTGATGTTGGTTGGGTCAGTTGGTGCTTGCTGCCATACTGAAAGAACATATCTCATAATACACTATGTCTATCCCCCTTTTCCAGAATCCCTATCAGGGTCAAGACCAACACTACCAAAAAGGACTGTGTGCATGTGAGTTTGTTTGTGTTGAGGGAAAGACAAGTGGGTGTACAGTATAAGGTAACAATGTAATAACTGCCAGATAACTTCATACTTGTCAAAATGTAACTAATATCTTTAGTAGGGGTGTAAGAAAATACAGAAAAATAACACATCGCAGTATTTTGTTTCTTGATATTGTATTGATTCTCAAAATATATTGATTTTTGTGTTTAAACCCCAACCTCTACATAGCAGTGCTGTAAACTGAGGGCTCGTATTACCAAGATACGACATGTTGCACTCATTTATTTCCCAATTGCAAAATTAAGGATAGAAAACCATCTAATTTAATGTGGAGATACTATCTAAGTAGCAGCACAATGTGAGAAAGTTAAAAAGTATATCAACTGTGCTCATTTAATTCCCACTGGAAACAGAAGAAAAGAGGTGTTTTTAACTCAACTCCACTTCATGCAAGAACTTCAAACAAGCTTGTTGTTGTGGTGAACAACTACCACCACTACCTGGACTGTTGCTACTGCAACAACAAGGCCATGATAACTCACTGACCTCTCAGCAGGCCCTTTCTGACTTTTCAAAGCAGGAAAAGCACAGGTGTAATTAATAACATTAATGATGGCTGCATTCCATTTAGGTGAGCCAGTTGCTCACTCTTAGGTCTTTTCCACCAAAAGGGAAATTATTTGAAGTACTTCACCGAAAAATAAACTGGTTTGGAACCTGAAAAGTTGGTTCCCAGCTGGAACCAAAAACTATCCGGTTTTCCTTGGGAACCAAAGTGGTAGCGTGTAACATTCTACAGGTCATTGTGCATTGTGCAATGCCCTCTGTTGACGACACATCCGATTACAATGGTTCCACTCAAAACTGGTGGAAACGCAGGCTGGTGGCTAGATAGCACCAATGGTTCTAAGAATCTTCAATGGAACCGGTTCAAGAACCAGAGATAAATTGGTGGAAAAACTTCCCTGACATGGCTTACTGGGACATTTAATGGAATGGAGTCATCATTAAAGTTATTAGTCACACCTGTGACTTTCCTGTTGTGACAAGTCAAAATGTCTGCCGTAAAAACTGCCTATTATTATTGTTACATGGGGCCAAGCCAGAGGCACTGTGTGAAATAGTAAAGCCTGGTCCCTGTCCCTCTGGGACCCATTTTGAATGTATTTTTTTAAAATCAGATGGAATTAAATCCATTAACATTTATTTTCCCCCACAAATCAAGATCTTGAAGGTAGCAGAGCTAAAGAAGGCAAATGTGGAGGCATCTTGATTAAATGTGTTTTGAACAAAGATTAACAGTATTTGAAGAGGGGGAGTGTGGAGCTAACTATTTGTCAAAATGAATGAAACTGTACCACTCTACTCTAAGTCTAGTATAGTCTGGATTTTGGTGGACACACAAATGAGCCCTAGCTGACACTCATGCTGAAAGTTGGCTTGGTGCTACCGTGAGTTTTGTGAGATGTGGCTGTCAACTTTTGTTTGACTATAAAGTCCAACAATAATAAAATGACAATCTATTTTAAGACTTATCTAATGTGTTAACTAATGTATTACAATCATGTTGTGCAATGTTTTACTTTGAAAAGGTTGCATTTGTTCAACAACTAAATTCCATTTTGACAAGTAATTGTGTTACCTGGTAGTTAATCCATTCAGTGGATACAGGGGGTCATTGTGGAAAACATGCACTATGTCCCACACTCTCAGGAATATCATGCTTCATTCATCATGATAGAGATAATACTGCAACTGCTGGACATTCTCAAACACATCAACCTTCAAACGCCAACATGCGTCAGTCTTTCAGTCACATCTGTCATCTGTTCGAAGGTGCAATTACATACTGTGTATCAAATGTTTTTATTGAAAACTGACAAAAAAAAGAAGCTTAATCGCCACCCCTCTTGAACTCTGTGCACACTTCTAGTTCATTTTCTTGGCCCTGGTAGTTTGGCCACAAAATGGAAGCCGTGTCCTTCCTTTCTGACAGTGGACCTGAGTGAACCTACCTTCTGCCACGCCCCATGGGTACTGGCGACCTCTGACCTTCTTGCCATTCACCTCGATTACCACGTTGCTGCCAACCACTGCCAGTGGCATCTTCTCCTGGAGAGACAAAAAAGTTTCTTTTACTGAGAATGAACTGCTGCGTCCATACCTGACGTTAGATTCATTTGGGTTAATTGCATGAAGATTTGGGTTGGGATATTGGATATGTTTATTAGTATTTCTACATTTAAACTTCTGTCTTGTCTAAGTGCAAAGACATGATATGATACACTGTTTGAGTAGAGAAATTTGTCTTGGACCCAAATGCTGTGCACATATAGCTGCCTCCATGTAGTTCCTATGGTGAGTGAAATATCTCAGACTCAGATTTACATATTTTTAAGGCCCAGTCACAAGAAGGAATTGGCACAGCAAAATTTATCCACGTGGCCTTGCCACTTATAGGTATGTTTTCATTATTGTATAATCACCTGAAACATTAGAATGACATGTTTTTATCTACAGAGGGAGCGGGTCACAATGTTGAACCACTATGTTTCTACAGTAGCCTGGAACAGACAAACCAAACCCTGGCTCCAAATAAGGTTGTCCGTGAAATGCATTTTAAAAATAAGTTCACACAGTTTATTTCAAAGACGTTATACTCCTAACTCCTATATAGGAAGGTAAAAGAAAAAAAACTTGATGAGGAGTTGGCTAATAACCTACAATAACTTTCTCTAATTTGGACCTTTACCCCAAAGGTAGAACTGTAAACTTTGGTTAAATGGCAAAAAAGATTTACGCAATTTAACCAATTTTACTGATTACTAAGTATACTGCCACCCCCTTTCCACCAACCTGAACCTAGTGCTAGCTCTGGGCTGGTGCTAGTGCCGGTTCAACCTGAGAACCTCCTTGTCATGCTGAAACCAGTTTTCCTGGCCAAGAACCGGTTCTTTGGCTGTTGAAACGCAAAGAACTGACTCGAAATTAGGCACCAGCTCTGGTGCCAGCCCTCAAACTGCCTTGGTGGAAAAGGGGGAAGATCTCGCAGTTTTAAACGCTGCTGTCACTGGGCCTTTATTCATGTGCGGAGTCACTAGTGGCTGACATCAACATGATATGGGGGGCAATACCATGTGTAGCACCATGCTCAGCTCTTGTCAGAGGCAGCTGTTACTGGGGCTTGTCTATAAAGCTGGTGATCAGTTATGCAATTAGGCTGGCAGGGGTGGGGGAATGGGACCGAGGCAGCTGCAGGGGTTGGATAGTAACCAAAGGACGGACTGACCTGTGGCTGCCTGTGACTCTATTTATCTGTCTGCCTGCTGAGATCAATCAGAAGTGCTGTAATCAAGTTTCTAAAAAGATGCCGTGGTACATTACCTTGATCTTTCGGATGAGCTTGTGGTCCCCGTCGTCCTCTGTGTCTGGGAATTCGTAAATTTTGATTTTGTGCTCCTGTATCTCTTTCATTATCTGACAAAGGGAGAAATTAATCAGAATGAAGGCAACACTGCACACACTGTAGGCCTCAAGGTTGACCAGAATGCAGAAAATCCCTGCATCCAGCTGCTGCTTGCCACCAGCCGGGGACAATGGTTAGTCTGTGGCTCTTTCTAGTCTTTTTGCTAAGCTAGGCTAATTGCCCCCTAGCTTTAGTCCCATACCAAATGCACAGACAGTGGTATCAATCTTCTCATCCAAGTCTTTGAATAAAAAAAAATCTGAAATGACTACACCTGCTTTACATGTATATGCCTGTATTGAGTAAAATAAAATACACAAATGGTACAAATTGTTTCATCTATTCTCCTTAGTTGGATTGTAACAGCAGCACTGCCAATCCCACACAAATACCTGTTTTTTGAAAAGCTGGCACTCCTCCGGGGTCAGAGTGTCAGCTTTTGCAATGAGAGGGATGACGTTGACTTTGTCATGGAGTCTCTTCATGAACTCGATGTCCAGCGGCTTCAGACTGAAGGATAGACAGAAAGAACAACAAATCAACAGAAGTCGCCAATAACTATCATGCACATGTTTTTGAATCGGTAATTTAACCTTGGTTCATAAATATGAATGCATTTGTTTGTGTTAGCAACGGGCTGACAGCAACCCTGTCTGCCTGAGCTGGGTTGGTTTCCGCCCTACTCATTCCTGAACAGGATAAGCCCCTAATAGGAAATTGATGAATGAAAACCTAAAATGGGCTTGTGGTTGATAATAACGTCAGCCCTTGTCAGGCAGGGTGACACATGCTGTGAGTCAACAATCAATTTACAAAAATTAATCGAAAGGAAATGCCACAGAGGGCTTCCTTAGTGCCCGGCTTTTCAGCGTAAATGCAGTTCAGAGGGTCACCAGCAGAGGGCCAACCAGAACCATACTTTACATGTAGCCCACAGTGTGACTGACTTTTTGTCTTATGTGTTCTTCCTCTGTGGTAACAACTGATGGTTTTGTCTTGCAGGGCTGATGAGGGGTTGTCTTTGTAATACTCCCATAGGCTCTCCATCTCTGTCAGAATAAACAAGCGGGACTCGTATTCAGTCGTGTGGCCAGAAACAGAGAGCTCTGATCCAGGACGAGGTTGGTGGGCTGCCTGCTCGTGTGGGCAGTAAAGTGCTTCGAATAAAAGCAGCCATTTACCATTTACATGACTGAATACTTGTATCCAGTTGTGCCTATAAAAATGCAATTATTTTTATTCATGTACATTCGAATGATGCATGCTAATGTGCCGACATGGTTCTGTAACATGTCTGTGTGTGCGCTTGTGTGTAATGAGTTTGAGTAAAGGGACTGTTGAGGTCTCTGGAATGCAGAAATACAAAGAGGGTAACAAAACAGCTGTTGAGTGGTTCACTAGTTCACAGAGGGACACGGGGAGAGCGTGTATGAAGTATTGGGTAAGAACTGGGTCAGGCGGGTCCTGGAGTGAATGCGGTCCGGATAAAACAGGAGTCAGAGTGTCTGGTCTAAGCAGAAGGAGGACTTGAGGACTGTAAGAGATATTGATTGGCAAGCCACTCGTTTGATCTCAAAATGTTATTCCTCTCAGCGTTACAGTAAATCATAAATCGTCTCCACACACAGAGTGATTTATCAGAGTAGCAGCACTCACTGCTGCCTGGACTTTCTTCCTTCCTTCTCCCTTTGGTTTCTTGGGGTATAAAACATCACAGACAGGCTAAGCTTGGAAACATGAGCATGCAGTTCTAATGGAGGATTTATAGGATTTGAAATTTTACAGCCACATGTGACTTTTGGAAGCAGCAGCATGCAAACTGCAGTTCTGCAGCTGTTGCAGAAGATCTGAAGGTCAACAGTCTGCTCAGAAACTATATTTGGGCAAATTCCTGGAGAGTGACGGGAAAAGCACAAATTATCCGATATATTTACGCAGAGAGGAGAACAATTGCTGCGCCATTTACTGACTTGTCAGTGCCTCAATAATAGCTTGAATTTATACCAGCAATCCTGGAATACAAGAGAGGGTGACACCACAGCCATTTATTGGGAGTTATATAGAGTAGTGTAGTATAATGACTTTCAAACTCTGTTGTGCTCTTACTGAACTTACTGCACTGTGTAAAGCTGGGCAGGAACAGTCCGACTTTATGAACTGGGCAGTATGGTCTGTTTGTTTTGCATCATGGTTCAGTTTTAGGTTCCTTTCAGACAGGCACTTCCTCATGTAAATGTGATGGAAACTTTATGTTGGTCTCATGTCAAGCTCATGAATCACTTTTATGTAAAAGTCACAACAGCAGTTTGACGAGGCCTTGGTCACTGGTTCTCAAGCTATGGTACGTGTATTACTGGTGGTAGGCGAGCTGCCTCTAGTGATAAAATGAATGGTTCAAAAACTCTGCAATGATGGCTCCAAACAGGAACTAGTGCAGATTAGGAGTACCCCAGTGAACTGGATTCCACTACAGTTAAAAATAAATAATCTTCTTATCAGGAATAAGCGTGCCTCCTGTGTGAAGTGTCCGCAGCCGAAGAGGGTCTGCCTACGCTACTGGATTTTAACCTCGGTCATAATGGTGGTACTTGCTCAATAGGTGATACTGGGAGGGCCGTTGATTCCGACGTGATTCCAAGTGAATCCACCACACCAACACACACCAACCACAACACACACATCACAACACACACACACACACACACACACACACAACACACACACAACACACTACTCGATACACTCTCTCTCTCTATGAGAACACTGAAGATGAGAGAAGACAGAGTGTTCTCTGTCCTGAGATTGGGAAAGGCCTGCCTCTGTGAGCTGCTCGAGCCTCCACGTCGTGATTGCCCCTCAGTGAGTGGGAGACTGAGCTCTAGCGTTGAGCATGAGTCATGAACTGGTTATATAACCTTTGTGGGTCACAAACACTGGCTGCCGTGTGCGCGCACACACACACGCTTTTGATTTAGCTTCAGCTTGTATAGGAGACGGGGGATAGGAAGCTAAATGGATCACTTTAAACACTGCAATTGATTGCACTGACTGGCAGTACATGAGAATGTTAGTTGGCTGTTGGCTAATCACACCTTTGAATACAAATAGACTCACAAAGGAAGCATCTTGACCAGAACAAAACCATCCTCCCACTTGCCAACTGCTGCCTTTAAAATGCTGGCATCAGAATATCTCAGTTCACCTGCTTTAAATGATGATACTGCGGAAATTACAGCCGGGAAAGAGACTTGCAAGCTAAAGCTGCTAAAGTCAATATTGTATTTTAATATGATTATTTTTAATGTGAAAG